CAAAACTTATTAGTTAGCTCAGTTTTCAAATTGATTCTATAGGTTGTTTTTAGTATACACATCTTGTCAGTGTGTGAATAATGACCATTTTATTCTCCTATGAAATGCTTGCCTTTACTTATTTTTGTCTTGGCCCCACACTAAGCATTTAATATGCATTATCTTGTTTGTTCTTCACAATAAGCCAGTGCTGTTTGCATTTAACCTCTGCTGTAATGTAGATCCAGGTGCTGCAGACTGCCCACCTGGCAGGACTGGGAAGGAGTGGAAACTTATGAAAAGGTAGGATCCAGAGGCTGGCGGTTTAGCTCAGCGGCATAAGCGCCTGCCTTGCAAGCAGGCAGTCGTGAGTTCGATCCCCAGTACCCATAAAAAGGAAAAAGACAAAAAAAAAAAAAGAAAGAAAGAAAAGAAAACGTAGGATCCAGCACAGGCTTTCCAATCACTGGAGCCTGCTCCTGAAGAAGGGCTCTGGTCTCTTCCTCTCTCTTTTCACATCTGGGCCACGAAAGGAAAGATTCTGCTATACCAGGTGCATGTACCATGATGAGCTGCAACCTCCACCCCACAAAAGGGCTGTAAAAGTAAGGGGTTTGTCCGATCACGGACATGAAGCTTTCAAAACTGTGAGCAGAAGGAACCTTTCTACTCTGCAAGCTGCTTAGGATACTGCGTTTTGTTACAGTAGTAGAAAGATGGCTAACAAAGCACACAAGAGCCTCAAAAAGTGTCAACAGGTACTAAGGCATGAGGGACTGGAGGCACAGGGCATGGGAAGTTGCTATTTGATGGGAACAGTTTCAGTTTTGTAAGATGGGAAGGTTCTGGAATTCTGTTACACAACCATGTAAATATATAACACTTAAAAATGGCTAGGCTAGACTGGAAAACTTCGTGTTGTTCTAAAATCATAATTAAAAGCAAAAAATATTTTTAGAAACATTAATAGAAAATTTATTGTAAATTCTAAAACAAAAACTACACCTATGCTGAAACCATTTTTTAAACCTATCAGATTGGCAAAACTCCAAAGCTTTGATTACACTCTCAGTTGGCAGGGATCTGGGAACCGTGCTCTCACACATTTCCAAGGGGACAGACAGTGATGCAGTCCCAGGGAAGGTAGTCTCTGTGACACCTTCAGTCTAGTAATTCTACAGCGGAGAACTTAATCATCCAGACACACCATAAGCATCTGTGCAACGATGTACCGACAAGGTTATAAACTACAACGTTGTTTACAATAGGAGGACACTGGAGACAAACAAATACCCATTGCTAGGTGACAGGGTAAGTAAGTTATAGTACGCCACACACTGCTGTAGTGAGCGCCTATTTAAAAACGAGGAAGCTCTGTACATGCTCAAAAGGAAAGATATCATGATTCCCCATTATGTGGCCTTGAAGCCTTATAAAGTTTTCACTTATTAATTGGAAAGGCTTTATTCTGGGCTTCTTGATATGGAAATATTTGAAGCTATAGTATATGAAGTTTTATTCAAATATTTCAAGGAAAAAGACAGACACTATGGTAACTACTATTAAGTCGGGTTATTTGGTGGTGAAGCACTAGGTTGCTGAAACAGTCATGCTTTGACCTGTATTGTTATATTTTTATGTCCTGTTTTATCTCAATCTCTCCCTTATTCATTAAAAAATTATTTAGTTATTTCTTATTTTTTTTAATTAAGGGGAAAAATTTAAAAAAATAGCAGGATATATAATAGTAACTTTTTTGATTTCCTATTAACTTGAAGTCCTGTAATACTCCCACTATCTTGTTTTGACTGATTAGACTCTGTTCCATTCTGTATGATAGTATGAAGTTTGAGGGTATAGGCAACTACTTTGAAGGCAATAAGATTCACTAAGATGCCCATTCTGGTTTGACTATTGTCTCCTTGGAAGTCCTGTAATGTTTACAATGCTTAAGTTTTATTGGTCTTGTTCTCTACTGTTTTGTTCAACTTTATAATATCTAATGAGATAGACAATTCTTTTTAAGGAAACAAGAGACATTGTTGATAACCATTGTTGATAACCTTGTACTCTGTTTTACATCATGTGCTATGTCTATCCTTGGTTTTGACTGACAGCTTTGTTTTGCCATATTTGACTTTATTCTCTCCCCCCAAAAAAGTAATAAGAACTAAGGAGTAATAAAACCCAAAATGTATATATTTTGTTGTAAAAAAGAGAGGGGAAAAAAAAGAGCTCTAAAGGATACAACAGCAAGTGTGTTTAGGTGTTAAATAGCTGACCATACTAATGTTTTTAGTTGGATCATTGAACACAACTGTTTGCAGTCTCACTGTTTGAATGTCCACTTTGTATGCTTTGATACTGTGATTGAGCAACTATCTCTAAGATGATAATATGTAATCTATTAACTGGTGATTTCTTACTGTTTTTTTTTTTTTTTTTGTAGTTCTGTATTACTTGTACCCTTACACCGCTTTGTTTTGTTTTGTTTTTTCTCTTTTTCCTTTTAAATAAAATTTTAAAAAAAAGTTCTCTAAAAGATACAACTGCATGTATATTTAAGTGTATAAGATAGATAATCATATTACTGAATTTTTGTTGGGATCATTGAACAGAACTATTTGAAAGTCCACTTTGTATGCTTTAATTTTGTAACTTGAACAACTATTTCTAAGATGACAATATGTAATCTATTAACTAGTGATTTCTTACTGTTTATTTTTTTGAAATTCTGTATTACTTGTACTGTTTTTCTGTTTTTTTTCTTTTTCTATTTAAATAAACTTAAAAAAAAAAAGAGGAAAGATATTCCGCATGCATTACAAACGAAATTCATAACTGTGTAAAAAGGAGAGAAACAATCTATTTGTACTTGTTTATACCCTTGCATGTACATTAAGTAGTTCTGGAAGGTCACATCGAGCACTAATAGCAATGATTCGGGGACCCTAAATGGGAAACGGATGGGTGGGGGATTAGCCAGGATGGGAAGAAAATTCCCACACTTACAGATAGATTTTAATGACACCAGTGATATTAACCTATGATTGACCCATTTACCAAGTGTCCACTATATGTCAACAAGGCCCTGGCAATACAGCACTGAACTTATGCGCCCTTACTATTTTAGAATTATATTCTAGGGGAAAAGACCAAACCTGTGTTGTGCCTGTGTGTGTGCATGCGCACATGGTATACACATTTTTAAAATTATAAAGTTTAATCGTGCCAGAGAGCTACTTTTCAAAAAACTTAATCAGGACAGAGGAAGAAGAAATGAGGCGGTGGGAGAGAATCCTGGCGCTCCTTTGGCTGGAGCGTCTGGGGAGCCGCCCTGAGCAGGAGGCATCTGAGAAAACAGTTGAATGACTGCAGGGGAAAGAGCCTTCCAGGCAACAGAAAGGAGCAAGCCTGACGCGTCCAAAAATCAGCAAAGCTACCTGGATAGTGGGAGCAAGGGAGGCAAGAAGACAGGGCGGCGATGCTGCCTGACCGGCTCCGCACAAAGAGCAGTGGGCTCTGCGGAACTTGGTCTCTGGTGTGCAGGGTGCAGGCAGCTATGGGGCGGGGTTTAAAAGTTGCCCAAGGGGGGCCGACTGGGAGCCAGCCACTGCACACCTGTGGGCCTCCAGGTTGTTAAAAGACTGAGCTACTTCAAATCTAGCCTGGAGACAGCTGCTTTCCTGGGAACAGTGTCGCCTGCCACACTGGCTTCTTTCCCAGAGCCCTCCCACCTCCCTCCCGCTTGCCCGGGAACCCATAACTAAATACCGTAAGTGACTGGTGGAAGAGGCTGGGGGAGGCTAAGCAGCTCAGGACCCTGGAATCACTGAGGTCCAGCGCGCAGTGGGGCGAGTGAAGAGCGTCCGTGCCCGACAGCCCTGAGGCAGCTTGGAACAGTGTGTCCTGGGCTTTCATCCCAAGAGGCAGCTGGGGCCCAGCCCCCTTGCAGGCTCTGCCACCCCTAAGTGCAGGGATAAAAAGCAGGCAGGAGACACAGGCTGCCTGTCCCTAAGCTCAGGGCCAAGGTGAGGACAGCGGGAAGGGGAAATTCAGCTTCTACAGAAACTCTTTTCAGTAGTTTCCAGGTGATCTGAACCCCTGCAGGCCAAAGCTGACCTTTAGCACTTTTATATAATATGTTTACTACATCAAACTTTGTATATTCAAAGCTGTGAAATTGTCAGGTACCAGGACCCCCCCCCCCCATACACTGTTAAAAGGAAATCAAAATGCAGACTTTGGCAAAACATCAAATGTGGCCTTAACATTTCCAGTATGTTTATGTAACAATGACTGGTCCCAGAATCCAAAATTCAATTAGACCAAGCACAGCCGAAACATGGCAACTCTATCTTCACACGCAACTTGTTTTATCTACTACACTGCTGGAAGTTTCATTTGGTAAATCAGCATAGATGTCAAAATCTTTAAAAAAAAAAGAGTGATTTTGCCAAAGTAGTATGACATTTCTCATGCTGCTCCCCACTTCACCCACATTCACCAAGTTCTTCCTCTTTGAAACACATTCTGCTGCTCCGAAACCTAGGATCCCAGCTCTGTTCCATTTTCACTTCTACTTCATTCTCATTCATTTAATTTCCCTAAACCTAAAAATCGCCAATTTAATTATATCACCATAGTATTTGCTAACACAAACTTGTAACATGAACCTAAACTAAAGGAAAAGTAACTGGAAAGAACATAGGAGAAATCTAAGCACTATTTAGAAATAACAGATCTCAAGGCAGCTGGTATGCATTTACTCACTTTTACTTTCTGACTGTAAACACCCCAGGACATTAAAAATTCTTTCATGCAAGCAGTAAGTGTTGAAAAGCTGAAAAGCTTCACAGTTTTCCTTTTCAAAAATAAAACAACTGAAATGCTGAAACTTTAAGTAGATCTAGTGTACAACATTAAAAGCCAAACAGGAACTTAATTTAATCTTATGGAAGTTACTCTTATAACCCTTTTTATATTAAAGTCATAATAGATTTTTTTTTTAAAGTACTTACACCAAGCTGAAGTCTGGACAGACAGCATGAAACTAGCAGCAGCCGCCGGTTCCCTCACAGACTAAACTTTGTCCCTTCCTGCTCTTTCTGGATCAGGTTCACAGTGATACACATTTACTGGCCTTGGAAGCCACCACCCAACTGCAAGGTAGGAGGGTTTGTTCATCCAGCTCCTGGTCCAGAATCACTTATCACAACTTCTCCATGGCTAGGTTGAATGTGCTCAAAGAGAGAAATGTAAGGATGATTCCAAGGAAAGCCTGAAAAAAAATCTCATAATCTCTGATGGCTGGGTTTTGGTTTCAGAGGGGATTTCCCATTCCAGTATGTTCCTAGGGTCAAAAAGAAAATTCTTTTGAACTTCAAATATCTTGCTTTCTTCCTTTATGGATGCTTCCCTCCCTGCTCTAAATCTATATATTGTGCAAGAATGGCTGAATGGGGTCTGAAAGGTTTTCTTTGCTATTCTTTTTTTTTTTTTGTCTTTTTCCTTTTTATCAGTACCAGGGATCAAACTCACCACTGCCTGCTTGCAAGGCAGGCGCTTATGCCGCTGAGCTAAATCTCCAGCCCCTCTTTGGTATTCTTTATCGCCTTCATCTCCATGCTCCCCGTATTACCAGTACGAGAAACAATGCAGAGTTCTTGGTAAACTTAGTGCTTTCTTTCAAAACACCTGCCAATTTAATGTAGAAATGAGAACTTTGATCCCAAATTCTGTTCTTTGCCAGATAAAATGTTATGCCGTTTTATCCTCTTCCCATTCCACTGAGCTTTGTTTCCTGAACTACTATGTGTCTGCATTTTGTACCACTGGATTTTGAAGCAGCGACCGTTTTAGATATACTTAGGGCTCAAATCACTTCAGAAACTTTATCTTCTACTCGCCCACACAATACATTGGGATCATCGTAAAATCTTCTTATTCCAATTCTCTGTATCCAATTTGACTCCTTCACTATCCGCTTGATCTCCTGCAGTGAGCACTGTGAAAGGCAGAATAAGCCCCCTCTCTACAAAGATACCCACCTCCTAAACATCAGGACTGGTCGATGGTGGCCAAAAGGATTTCATCAAGGTTAAGAACACTGAGATGAGGAGATTATCTTTTTTTTTTAATCGGTACTGGGGATAGAACTCACGACTACGTGCTTGCAAGGCAGGTGCTTATGCCGCTTGAGCTAAATCCCCAGCCCCCGAGGAGATTATCTTGATGGGCCCAATCTAATCACAAGAACTTCTAAAGGTGGTGAACGTTCCTCAACTGTGGTCAGACAGCGGTGAGATGAGGTCTCAACCAGCTCTTACTGGCCTTGAAGATGAAGCTAGACATGGCAAGAGATGGATTTTGGAACAAGTTTTGATGACATCTTAATGTCAGCCAAGTGAAACTCATATTGGATTTTGACCTACACAACAGTAAGATAATATATTTGTAGGGTTTTCTGTTTTGTTTTTGCAGTACTGAGGACTGAGCCCAGGGACTGAGTTATATCCTCGGCCCTTTTTTATTTTTTATTTCAAGACAGGATCTTACTAAATTGCCCTGGAAGAGCGGGGTATCATGGTGCACGTCGGTAATCCCAGCACTCAGGAGGCAGAGGCAGGAGGATTACCAGATGTTTGAGATCAGTGTTGGATCTATAGTGAGATCAAGGCCAGCCTGCACTATGTAGTGAGACCCTAACTCAAAGAAAACCAGAAACAAGGCCAAGTTGTCCAGTGTGAGTTCAAACTTCAGATCCTCTCACCTCGGTAGTGCTGGGATTAACCCGAGAGCTGGATGAAGGGCATGCCCAGCTTAAATAGGTGTTGTTTTAAGTCATAGAGTTGATCACACTTTTTTATGGCAGTAATAAAAAAAAAAATGGGTGCTTTAAATTCATCATGCTCCTTTTAAAATATACCAAAAAAAGCACTCCAAATGAGGTGTGATTAAGAAAAAAATCTGTAGAATTATCAGTTTCCTTAGTCTGGTTACTACAAATTTATTATTTTATATTGTTAATGCATTATATTCTTAACTCAATAGACACCTAGGTCTTTATCACATGAGCTATATCCAACCAGATGCCTGACCTTCCCTTCTGTCTCCCATTTAATGGGGTCAAACGCACACATTTTTGGAGTGTGAATCCTGGTTCTATTTAAAGTTGATACAGGAAATACGAACAGCTCTTAAATACATGAAGACACTTGACCTTGCTCAGTATAAGGGAAATAGAAAGCCAGGCATGGTGGTGCACACTTGCAATCCTAGCACTCTGGAAGGCTGAGGTAGAAAGATCATAAGTTCTAGCCCAGCCTAGGGAATTTAGCAAGACCTTGTGTCAAAATTTAAAAAGGAGGTGAGAATGTAGTTCACTGTAAAGGCCCTGGGTTCAATCCCCAGCTCTGGAAGGAGAGTGAAAGACAGAGATATACAGACAGACAGAAACAGATTGTGTGTACTTTTCAGGAAGAATAAATCACAAACACTAGTGGTCTGTAGGAAAGAGAATTCAGAGGGCCTCTAAGGTTTTGAGGTAGAAAGCAGACATATATTTTTTTCCTTTTTGAATCTGTAACAAAGCTGGTATTACCTATTTAAAAATAGATATGCTAGTGGGTGTAGTGGTATATTCTTGTAATTCTAGAGCTCTGGGTACTAGGCAGGAGGACTGATAGCAAGTTCGAGCCCAGCCTGGGAAATTTAGTGACTTAGCAAGACTTTGTCTCAAAATAAAAAATAAAAAAGGAGGGCTAGAAGATACAGCTCAGTGTAAAGACCTTGCCTGGTTTTAATCTCCAGTAATAAAAAAGCTAAAATTCAATATGTAACCTGGATTAGATGCTACAATAGAGAAATTTTAGTAGTGGAAAAAAAATTATAAAAATTTCAGAAAAGACAGATTTTAGTTAATGGTTATATAACAATGTTAATTTGTTACTTTTGACAAATGAACCAGTAGCTGCAGAAGATGTTATTATGAGGAGAAACTGAAAGTTATAGGGACTTTCTAGAATGTCTGGAAATGTTCTGTAAGTTTACAATTATTATGAAAAATGTTACTAAAACAACAAATACATACTAAAAAATTATTGGGTGGTTTTGAGCAAAATGGCTTGGAGAAAGGAGAAATTGGTACCAAAGACTTCAGATGGGAAACCGTGAAGGAATCATGGTATGAAGCAACGAAAGCCTTAGGTAAAGGCCATGAAAATAGATAATCAGAAGATACATGTGGAAGGAAAAAAAATAAAATTATTTGTAATGTCACTGAGAAATGAGAATAAGGAAACTAATGACAAAGGACAGGAAGCAGGAGCATGAAATTAATTTAATTAATTCAACAAATATTTGTTGGTACCTACTATGCCAGACACGATGTGATAAGGTGAGAGTAAGTTTATAAACACCAAGTATGGAGTGAACACAACATGTCCAAAAGGATAAAGAGGATGGGATTCCGGTGAGAGGACAGACCAGGACTAGTTGAGAAAGTTTAACAGAGCCAGCACAGAGGTGTAGGACATAAACACAGGGGACAAGAGTGGTGGCAAAGAGCACAGGGAAGGAATGGGCAAAGGGTTTGGGAAAGCAGCATGATAGTGTTAGTGTCTAGAAACCAAGGTGAAAAGAAAGAGCTAAGACGCGGCCCACCAAATGCACTGTCCAAGCAGTAAGGATGTACAGAGGACCACAGGACAATTGCTCAAAAGGAGAAAGACAGGATGGGGAGAACATGGCGGACAGACAACAGCAACTACTGAAGGCTCTCTGAAAGGCTCAGCTCAGAGGCCAGGAATGATGCGGACTAAGGAGATACGAACCACGAACTGGGCTGAGAGAATCCAACTTAGGATACAGTCCTGGCGCTAAAATAGGAACAGAAAAGACTCGGTGTAGAGGCTCGACCCCGCGCCATTGGAAACCGCGATTTGGGTTTCCCGCCGCCCGGCAGCTGGCTGCCTCCACAGCGGCTCGGCAAGGAGAGACGCGCCGAGCTCTGGGAACGGGAGTCTGCGAACGGAGTCGGAAACAGGACGGACAAAGAGGCGTACATGAAAACTGACTGGTGGCGAGGTGAGAGAGAAACTACCCCCTACCACAGTTTGACTCCAGCGGAGGTTTTTCTGGGCTCAGGCAGTCCTGTAAGAGCAGGGCGCGGTGGCAACTCCAGCCACACATTCCCCTCTCGGACGGGATTGGTGAAAAGTCCCTGGCCTGAGTGACGCTGCTGGCAGACTCCCTAGGCTGGCCTAACCCAGATCCCAGAGCCTGCCGGTGGCCCGGAGGAGCGACTGACTCCCGCATAGGCTGCCTCCTCCGCAACTCCCTGGGGCGCAGCGGTGGGCGGGAACAACTAGCCAGCGCAATTTGATCAGGCTGTGGCTGACAGGCAGGGAAGCCGGGCCTCCCATGTAAGCTTGCATTTTATAAGGAACAGAAAATATGGGGAAGGGAAGCAACAAAAAAGGCTCCTCGGCCCCCAATCCTGAGAATCAGGCAATAGTGGACACCGCACCAATATACATTAAGCGCCATATAGAGAGCCTCATAGACCAATTCAGGAATGAAGTTATCAATGACCTGAAGCTAGAAGTATGCAGAATAGTTAGAGAAATGCTAAGCACCACCCAGGAAAAAGCAGATGGTGGAATGGAAGAACAGAAAAAGAGGGGAGAATTGCTTGATGGAGAAAACAGAGAAAGCATTGAGTATGTGAAGCAGGTTCAAAGGGACTATCAAGAAATTAAGAAGTCTATCCAAGACTGGCATAACAGCTTGAAAGAAACTAAGGACAGACTATCTGAACTGGAGGGCAGACTTGAAACATGGGAGAATGAAATGAAAAACTTCTTAAAAATAACAAAGAAACAAACAGCAATAATACAAAGACAAGAAGATGATAAGAGGAGCCATAACTTAAGGATTAAGAACATAAAAGAAGAAGTAGGGACACAAACAAGTGAACTACAAAAGCTACTCACAGAAATAATCCAGGAGAATTTTCCTAATTTAGCAAAAGGTAAAGATACTCAGATGTATGAGGCATACAGGACCCCAGCTACCTACAACCCAAACAGAGAAACACCCAGGCATATAATAATAAAAATTCCAGAAATTCAATACAAGAACAGAATATTAAAAGCTGTAAGAGACAGATCACTTACAAGGGAACACCCATCAGAATTACAGCAGATTTCTCTTCACAAACCATCAAATCACGAAGAGCATGGGGAGAAATAATTCAAGCTTTGAAAGATAATAATCGCCAGCCAAGATTGAGATATCCTGCACAACTGTCCCTGGAAATTGATGGAAAAACGAGGTGCTTCCAGGATAAAAATGAACTGGGGGAATTTGCAACCACCAATTCAACCCTACAGAAAGTATTGCAGGATATTCTAAAAAAAGAAAAATACAAAGAACCCAGAAATAGTGGCGGGGAGGCCACAACGAATGGAGCAGAGAACAAAATGAAGAAGACAAACTGACAGCTACTGACAGAAAAAGAGCTCAACAGAAATGAGACAGAGAAGATTGGATGATAGGAACAGTTTTTTTTGGAGAAAATGACATCTTAATAGGTAATGCTGATTTAGTACCATCTTGTTTTGAAGTCTCATCTAGCTTTTGTTCTTCTGTCTCCAATGGTCTAAACAGGTTGTATCATATTGGATTTTGTTATGTACGATAGTATAAGCAAAAACCTTTTAAAGACAAGGAGATTATACAGAGACCATTGTTCATTTTCTGTTAGTCGATTCTAAATACTCTATAATGCTGTCATTCTCTTAAATGGTTTTACATTGTTTTGATATACTTAATGCTACAGTATATGAAGTTGTACTCAAGGACTTCAGGGAGGGAATCAATATGGTAACTATTTTTGGGTCAGGAATATCTGGTGGTGAAACACTATTCTGCTTAAATGGTTATGTTTTGATCTGCCCTGTTTCACTGTTATGCCCTCTTTTTTCTCAATCTCCACTCCATTATTTACTTTTTTATTTTTATCCATTTAATTAAAGGGAAAAATATAGCAGGATATAATATAGTAACCCACTTTGACTCTCTATTATCTCGATTTGAAGCCCTGTATTACTCTCACCATCTTGTTTTTGACTGAGGTTCCTCTATTCTGTTTTGCTGGATAGTATCAGGTTCGAAAGTTTAGGCATCAGCTGAGAAGATAATGAGATTCATTATAACGCCCATTCTCGTTGACTTTTATCTACTTTTGAAGACCTACAATATCTCCAATGTTTTGGTTTTGTCGGTTTTATTCTTTACGGTTTTGTTCAATTGTATTACAACTAATGATATAGGCAATTCTATTAGAAATAGCGGGAGGCATTATGGTAACCATTGTTGATCACCTTGTATTATGTTTTTATAATATCTATTATGTCCACCCTTTTGACTTGACCGATTCTGTTCTGTTATGTCACATTTGGTTTTACTCTCTTCCAAAAAAGCAATAAGAACCGTGGGAGCAATGAAACCCAAAATGTGTAATAGTCACTGTACAAAAGAGAGGAAAAGAAAGTGCTCTAAACTATATAACTGCATGTATATTTAAATGTATAAGATAGAAAATGATATCACAGAGTTTTATTGGATCATTGAACAGAACTGTTTGCAGTATCATTGTTGGAATGTCCACTCTACAAGCTTTAATTTTGTGACTGGAACAATTATTTCTAAGATGGCAATATGTAATCCATTAACTAGTGATTTCCTACTGCGCATTTTTTTCTTCTGTAAATCTGTATAACTTGTACCCCTTCACTTTTTTTTTTTCTTTCTTTTCTTTTCTCCTTAAATAAAAATTAAAAAAAAAAAAAAAAAAGGAGAAAGACAGATTGTTGGTGGAAAAGGTCACTCTGACCTCTTCTCCTTGCAGCAGAGCCTAAGTGGAACCCAGAATACACAAGTCAAAGTCTTCTTCAAGAAAGCCTGTCCAATTTAAAGGCCTTTGGGCAAAAGGCATTCCATTTATCATCATGCTTCTTAAACTGGGGTATCTGAGGCCACAGGGTAGATCTTTATGCTGTAACAGCTTTACTTGGAGAAAATAAATTGAAACAGAAGAATGCAAAATTTGCATGCATTATTTTTTACCTTAATATAATCCTGATAATTACAGACTTCTATAGTTTAAGAGAAAACCGATTTTAAGACTAATCACAAGAAACCAGTTTCTTTCCTAAATGTTTAGATTTCTAAACAAAAATTTACCTTACATAGTAAGTAGTTTTCAATACTCCATTATTACATCATCTGAAATTACCTTCTGAGGCAAAAAAAAAAAAAAAAAAAAAGCTAGTGAAATATCAAACCTGGAAGGCAAAACCACAGCTCTTGTAAGTATTTCATTCAGCCTACGTTGTGGCTTTCATAATTAATAACAACCTCAGGGACATGTTGTCACTTCTTAACATTTCCTACTGCCTCCAATTCTCTGCTGTCACATTTTCAAGATTTTGATATAATCATGTTTGGAGAAAGCAATCATAGACTCAGCTGAATCTAGCATTTGTGATTGATTTGTTTTTTGGTGCTGGGACTGGCGATGTGTGTGCTGCACCCACCCAGGGGTGG